TTTACGGGATCATTCTGCCCGATAAGCAACCTTACATCGGCTGACTGTGGACGCTCAGAAAACTGTGTCTACTACAAGACGATAAGGCATCCTCTGAAATCGCACAATGTGCATTGCACATAGCTGTGATCTGGGGTGGCATGGTCTCAGTGGAAACCCATAGAGAAATTACTGGAAGTGCCATGCATAATGCTGTCGATTGCGATACTGAGAAGAGCACCTGAGCATTCAGTCAAAAACATACACCTGTAAAAATGTCAATTAACGCCCGATTAGTTCAGCTGGATAGAATGTCTGCCTACGGAGCAGATGGTCGTAGGTTCGAATCCTGCATCGGGTATTTTAGACTTTACCTTTCATCATAGCCGTTGGACAGTTTTTCCCGAATCCTCACATCGTATATCGCTGCAAACTAAATGGATGGCACTCTCCACATGAGCATCGCGCAATTCGTGCAGGGTCCAACACTTGTTCGTTTTCCAGAAGATAAGCTTCCGGAGAACAGTCGTCCTCCATAGCCACGCCCATACACATACTTGTTCATCCCTGTAGTCACAACAGCTTCCGTACAATCGACCCGCAACACGCGATCAGTAATTGGACTTTGCCTCGCTGAGTCGGTATGAATGAGTTCAACAATCGTCGGCGTCTCTCGGGTATGTACGAGGCGCATCAGCCCTTCACAATGCTCTCATCATGCAGTAAGCTACTCACTCCGAGCACCGGCCGCATACAATTTCATGAGATTCCTCTTCCACTGAGATGAGGCGTTTCACCGAGGAAGAAGCTGTAGCGGGGAAGACCAGCATCTCCTTATAGATAAGATCTACACCGAACCCTAATCAAACACAATAGAGCTGCGCAGTTCGCCGATGATGAAACCGCAACATTAAGTGAAGAAGCTCGGAATTCGTGTGTAGACCGAGAGCAGGTCACTCTCTCGGGTAATATCTACACGAATCGCCTGATCCTGAAAGCCCAAACCATTTAGCCCCAGGAATTCACTCCACCCCGCTAGTTGTTATCAGCGCGGACACCTCAACAAGAACTGCAGTATACTTTGAACTATTTAAAGTATATTATTCAAATTTAATAGAAGGAAGGTACTCGAGAATTAAGTGACAGAAAGGAGCATGCATCCATAAGAGTTCACGAGTAAGCTGGATATGCTAACGTCTTGGAGTTTCACCTGCTTTGGGCAAGAAACCGCACTTCACTGGGTGTTGTTTCGCGAAAAATACGAAAGATCACAACCTAACCGTACCGATACATGTTATCGGATCTAGAGAATCTACTCTGGAAAAACTCGAATGAAATCCACCACCACTACAAATCTCCCACTCTGGCAGGGTCAACAAGAGATGATCGTGGAAACTCAAGGAGGCCCACCAAGCAGTGGTAGGAATTTTCAGAGTTTTTTGCAGCATTATAGTATATGTTCGCTCTACTCAGCTTGGTCGGAGCGCGTCCTTACTAATCACAGAAGCCTACACATGACCCGAGGTAGGAGTTTACAGAGACGAAGAACAAATTTCTAAATTTTTCATATTTTCATCAACACATGTGGTTGGCCATCTGCGTGTTTTCCCATGCTGGTTCTCTGTAGTAGAAAACGGAAAATCGTCAGCAGACTTTTGGATCGTCGGGACACTACCTCCGTGTGGACTAGCGAACACAACACTGCGTTGAGAATAACGGCACGGTGTACTGACAGCAGTAGTAGTAGTAGTAGTATAATTACACAATTAGGGAAGGCTTCTTGACAAGAAGGAATCAGCTAACACTAAAGACACGTTTAAGATCAACTAAATCACAGTTTAGTGGAAATGTAGTAAGCAGCATACAACTCACTGCGAAGAAGATACCACTTCGAGATGGCTATCGAATCTCAGCCTCGGAGTCTCTGTTCTCGAGAGCCCCAATACAGTGAGACTCCGCAGGGCGCGTTCAACATCGGGCTTCAGCGGTGGGAAAGTGTTGCGCATCAAGACATGATACATTTGCCCGTCCTCGAACTGACCGGGCCAGTTCTGATGACCATGCTGGACGAGGAAATTGCTCAGTCTTCTGCCGAACTCGAGACGGCGACAAGGCAGTGGCGACTTCACAGGCTTCTGACGGAGCTTATCTATCGCACTAGAGATACTCTCGGGGACTGAGAAAATAAGAACGGATCGGCTCTAGTTCATCCATAGCCCAATAGTACGTATCCAAGCCACGAAGTGGTGAATATTTCCGACAAAAAATCCGCTTATTGACGTATATATAACAGTCAGACAAGGCGCTTGATACAGGGGAGAGATATGTCATACACGTCAATCGAATCAAAATCAACAATCCCATGTGAGCTACACTAACCTGAGTAGTCCCCTTCCCCAGCATGATAAGCTTCACACGCTGCCTTATGGCCGAGACAGATGTTGTAGAAGGCAATCAGTCGCGCGCTAGAACTCGATCCAGGACCACCACGAAGAGACGGGAAGCCTGACATACAGCACAGAACAATTTTGACCCAGTGTAGGAATATATGTTAGGTTTCCTTAACTGCAGTATATGAAAACCAACCATGACAAATTCCATATTCTTACCAACACTTTGATACTCCACAGATTTATATCATAATTTACTATAAGACCTTACCAATATGATAATATCGATATCTGGACTAACATCTATATAACCACAAAGG